AGAATTAGCTCCAAAAGTGTCGAATCGGATACGATTTCTAATCCTCAATCTTCTCGATCTGCGCAGGGTAATGTTACCCTAATTAACTTTTCCAAACTTCGAAACAAGCTATTCTCTTTTCATGACATATTCATTCACTGTTCAAAATTTGTCTACTACCAGGAAACGAATATTGATAACCCACACAAGTTCAGCGTACAGGTTTAGGCAGTTGTACCTCGGTTCGGACAGTTTTACCTCGGTCGGTTGGGGAGTTTTACCTCGATTCGGACAGTTTTGCTTCGGTGCGGGCAGCTTTACCTCGGCTTGGGCAGTTTTACTGTTGTACCTCAGTTCAGACAGTTTTACCCCGGTTCGGACAGTTTTGTTTGGTCCGGATAGTTTTACTACTTCGGTGCAGGCAGTTTTACCTCGGTTCGGGGAGTTTTACCTCGGCTCGGTCGGTTTATTCAAATAAGCATAATACGAAGTAGTAATTTTTCGTTTGTGCACAACAGGAATGGGATACTTTTAATAAAAGTATCGGCAAAGTGACTTATTTTTTCATGAAATTTTGCAAACCGGGCAAAAAAAGGATGAATAATGGGATTGTGTTTTAATGTACGGAGTAGTTTTGCTTGTTTTTGTTCCTGCGAGAGTTTTATAGGTTCGAATTTGGCTTATTTATAGCTAATAAACGGTTACTAATTGCCTTTTTATTGAATTTTGCTGGAAAAATCATGGCTAGGCGACAAAGTTGAACGGTCCAAGTAGGGCCACCGAAGAGGGTGAAATTGTAAAGTGGTTTTTTGCGGCTGTGGGTGAGATAACGTGCATTTTGTGCAGATAACGTACGCCTTCTGAAATAACGTGCATTTTAACATGTATTTTTGCATTTGCAGAATAACTGGGTGCCACGAAAATCGGTGGAAAGTGGGCCGAAAACACTGGAGGAAGTGCATGATGAGGCGCACAGAGAGGAAATGGCCAATAGGTTATTGCGCGAACAAGTAAGTTTTGTTGAAAAGTCCCGGGGTTTTTTTCCCCCAGAAAAATAAGGAGCGAAAAAATGATTACGACTGTCAGCTAGTAAATCGGGAACTGAAATCAAATTTTTGTCTTCACTACGATTGAGAAGGAGTTTGGTGTCCAACTTAATTTTAACGTTTTAAAGGCTAAACAACAAAATACTAAGAAGCCGAATGGCCTTGCTGATGTGGGAAGGAAAGGAATGCTTTGTTTTTTTTTCTGATTGTCCTTTCACCAATACCCTTGAAGGTAGTTTCGTTGCCAGCAGTCCCAGAAGGTGGTTCATTGGTATCTCTCAAGGAGATACCCTTTCGCCGACATTGTTCGTCTTTGCTATCGCACCACTCAGCCATGCCCTCAGTGACTCAATCCCTCCACTAAAGTCATCTTCGGGGTGGTTAAAAGGTTTCCGATTCCGCCTGGGCCGCCAGTTTTGCATAGATGACCTTAAGTTGCCGTGAATCGTTGCTGATCAACTACAGAGAATCGATATTTTTTGTTGGATCAGATATATTCGCCCGGAGAATTTATTTTGTGTCAAAATTTTTAGTACAGCAAAAAACGATACGAAGGCCGTGCTTCATTGGATAGGCGAAATCCTCGCCCAACCGTCATCGGAAGGCAATCACAGGATGGTCGCTCTTATGGACCAAGAGTTACCGAACCGAGCCGTGACCAGAAAGCGCGGGCGGCTGGTGCGGCAAGCCTTGTTGCTAATACAGCCACAAGAAAAAATCAAACACTCAATAGTGTAAGTTTAACAATTGCAAAACATTGTAGGTGCTGAGGTAAATTAGGAATAGTGGAGTAAGAAGATTGGAATTAGGTGTCATGTATAAGAAGA